AACCGGTTTCAAAACTTCAAAAGTAAAAAAATGTGCCTAACTATAATCTTTGTGGTGTATCGAATGGGCAGGCTGTTGTCGGTAATTTTATCGTATTTTTAGAATAAAAATTCTAACAGTGTGAATAAATACTTTTTAAAAACAGTGTAAATACCTTCTAAAAAATACTATGTTTAAAAATTTTACAAAAGAATTTCTGCAAATTAAAAACACAACGTTAGAAATATATTTGGATTCATAAGTTAATTAAAGAAAATAAAGCAATGCTCGTAAGAATAGCTTGAAAAAGGAAATCAAGCGCTATGTTTATTTTTTAGAAACACTGAAGTTCATTATTCATAACTACGCATTTTGGAGCTTTGTCCTTTTTCTAAAATACGCATTTTGAGCTATGTCTTTTCTTTAAATACTAATGTGAACTATGTCAATTTTCTTAACCTCACATTTTGAGCTTAACCCATTTCCTGAAATACGCATTTTGAGCTATGTCCATTTCTTTAAATACGTATTATAAATTTGCAATTTTCGTAAACGCGCATTTTGAGCTTTGTTCATTTTCTAAAAAAACGCATTGTAATTAATGTCCAAATTAAAATCGACGAGGAAATTTCTTATCTCTAATATCCTAAGGAAAGACGAACACTTTTACTTTGATTCTTCAATTAAATTGATGTTTTATTTCATTAATTTCTCCTATTGTTGACTTTGATAATAATTCGTCAAGTTTTTTTAAAACAATTGCTTTCCTCTATGTATCTCTTCCTCTCTCTTTAGAATTTGCTGCTCTTAATGCAAAAGGTTCATGGGTTCAATTTTAGTGTAGCTAAAACTCAAAATTTTATTAAATGTTTCATGTTCCCAGTCATTAATAAATATTTTTAAAATCCTTGGCAAAATCAGCTAGTCACCACTTATCGGCGGATTAATTTTCGGGTCATCAGTAAATATTTGAGAGAGCAAAACTATGTCAAAATTTGACAAAAGGCGTAATTATAAAATATCAAAACCCCACTTGATTTTTCGAATTAGTTTGAAGGGGATTTTAGCAATCGCCTATCAACGCACCACAATTTTCTTAAGCAATTAATCATGTTTTTATATTTAATTTATTCAAATTCGACTTAATTTTTTTTCGTGATTCAATGTTTGATTTTTTCCTCAACAGAAATTTTAATTTGATTCGATTGATTTGATTTGAAATTATATTTTAATTTGATTTTTGCCAAGGATCTAAAATTATACTTAAATATTAAATCATTACGGAACAACAAGTGGTTCAGGTTAAAAAATTCCACTAAGAATTATATTTATAAATAACGAAATCACTTTACATTAAATTTCAAGTGGAAATTCCTAGAAAATAAGGTTATTTGAGTTCTAAGAGAAAATTTTAACATAAGATAAATCAAATAATTTAACAATCCAAAAAAGTTTTATTCCATTGTAAAAGTTGTTCTAGAATATTTTATATAGTATATGTAATATTGCATTGTCCCAAAAATATTCTTACTGCATATATTTTCAATTCAGAAACATTTGTATTGTTTTAGGTCGAAACAATGTGGCTATTCAAAAAAATGCACATCCTACCGGCAGTTTTATTAATTATAATGACGTCATTGCTGCCCCAAAGTAAAGGAAATTTCCCCCATAATGCCAATCCAGGGGGTGCAGGCCTTGGAGAAATGTTAGTGGCTGGACTCATCGCAAAAATGCTGAGTGAACATCATCAGCATCATGGACACTGTGGTCACCATCATCATCATGGACATCATCATCTTGGATAATTTGTGGAAAGCAAAACATTCCCTTTTGTACATACGAAGAATTCATTGTTTATTTTCTCATTAAAATAAAACACAGCTTTTTTTTACTTTCAGAGTAGTTAATAATTATCAACTAGAAACTTCTTACGTTATTTTAGGATCAATTATTGAATTATCTGAGAATGATAATTTGTGGAAAAAACTATTCACATTTATGCGTCAAAAGAAGCAATTGCTTATTTTTTCATGCAAATTAGGCATAACTTTTTTTTACCAGTAGAGTTGTAAATAATTATCAGTCAAAAATCTCAAGTGTTATTTTAGGATCAATTATTGAATTATCTGAGATTGATAATTTGAGGAAAAAACTATTCGCATTTATGCGTCCAAAGAGGCAATTGCTTATTTTTTCATAAAAATTAAGCATAACTTTTTTTTACCTGCAGAGTAGTAAATAATTATCAGTTAAACATCTCAAATGTTATTTTCGGATCAGTTCTTGAATGCTATGTTTCGAAATTGATAATTTGTGAAAGAAAAAAAAACATTCTCTTTTATTCGTGCAAAGAAGTAATTTCTTAGTTTCTCATAAAAATAAAGCACAACTTTCTTTTTAAATTTCAGAGTAGTAAATAAATATTAATTAAAAATCCCTAACGTTATTTCAGGATCAATTATTGAATGCTACGTTTTGAGATTGATAATTTGTACTTACTAAGAAGTCATTGTTATATTTTTCTCTTAAAAATAAAGAGTAACAGTTTTTACTTTCAGAGTAGTGAATAATTATCAATTAAAAAACTTATACGTTATTTTGGGATCAATTATTAAATTCTACGTTTCGAGAGTGTTGAAAATTAAGGATTGTTATGAGTGCTGAATCTCACGTCAAAACAAAANTACATATATATATATATATATACATATATATCGCCAAATAGAATTGATCGTCAACCAAAGTTCCGTAAATTTTTCAACTAACTACAGTTCTAAAGCCTCTCTCTGTCCGTTGATACTGCTAGTTAAGATTGCATGCTTTTTCGCCAATCAAATTTCGATCTATTGCTGAGACATTTAAAAATAGAAGACTAACAAAAAATATTAAAAAATGAATATTAAAAAATTTTTTGCAATACTTTTAAAAACATGCGTCCTCACGGGTATCCATTTATTTTTCATTCTTTCAGTTTTGTGCCAGTTAAAAAATAAAATTTTAAAAGCTAGCCTTTTCTAGCGATAGCAGCGTACTAAGCTAATACAAGGATATGCCAATATTAAAAATTGCACTAATATTTTTTTCCAATCTTTTTAATTAAAAATAAGACAATTAATGAATTCCAAAATTCAACAATAATAAAATATGTTTCTGTAATAAAAATTGTCAACGTTGAATAACAGTTTTTTTTCCCCAACAAAAATCAAAATTTCTAATATTCTACTCATTTTATGTTTGTGCATACACTAAAATTAATTTAAGACTACACTCCCCTGGATTTACTGCTTGAACTGTTTGACAAAAAGCCAAATTTGTAAGTCATTTACCAATAATGCTTAAACTGACCTTTTTCGATGCACCGTTTTTCAGCATCTAAACAAGCTTCAGTTTTTTTCACACAATATTTGCAAATGCATGTTTACACTGTGATAGCTGTTAATTAATATCATTGAAAGAAGTTTTTTAGAAAAATTACGAACTGAGAACAATTATGAACTCTAAAATGTTTAAAAAAGTTTAATCAAAAATCTTTCACAACTATATATATCTATATACATATGTCCTACCGACTCCCCTTAAAACTAACATTGTTAAAAAGATACATTTTCTTTTATTCTTTCTATAAATTGTTATCAAAATAATTAATAATCTTTGTTCGTAAATAAAATAATTAGTAGTAAAGTTTATTTGTAAAGTCGGAGTTTCCGACTTAAAACATTTAAACTGAAAAGACTGGATTTATTTATAATAAAACTCTTTAATTTACAATACGTACAGGAAATAAAAAGACATTCAAGTACAATATATTTTATGAGAAATTTACAAAAGGTGTTAATGATTTACAAATAATGTTCAGAAGCAAAACGATAAAAGCCATGGAAGGAAGTAAAATACGTTATACAAATAACGCACACAGAAAATCATGCAATATACAGAAATATTGTAGTAATATACAAATATTACTTACAATATGTTAACAAACAATGTGCAGAAAATGAAATGCATACAATATTTTTTTAAAAAACATATGTAAAGCATATTAAATAAATAATACCTAGGAGCTGAAGCGGTTATTCTATATTTAATTGAAAACTACATTCGCTTCAAAAATATGCAAAATGAAAATAACAATCAACATATTTCAAGCGCCCAAAAATAGGTACCTATTTTCAAGACTTGTCATACGTGAATGCGAAGAAATAAAAGTGATTTAAATATAAACGTAAAGTAAAAAATAGAGAAATAAAGATGAGAAACAAAACTAGAAAAACCACATTAGTTGAAAGAAAGAAAAAAAAGAGGAAAAGCAGAACAAAAAAAAAAATACAGTGCCGAGAGGGACAAATCAGACTAAAATGCATTTCCACGCGCTATTGAGAGGTGGAGAAGAACTAATGTCGTTAGCAAGGAAATTAGCAGTCATATAAATAAAACAAGATCAAGATGAGCAGATGTGACTGGGGTGGAAATGCTTTTGGCAATTTCGAAACTGAATTTGTGCAATGTGGAGCAATTGATGAATTCTCGTATTCCTGATAACCGAGATATCTATCGTGCTCCTTAAGCCCTTTAAAATTCAGACTTAAGGAACACTATATATATGTCAGTTATCAAGAATACGAAAAATCATGATCTGCTGCACATTGTTGGAATCTTGAACATAAATTCAGTTATGGCAATAATGCCAAAAATATTTCCATCAAAGTCACATCAGCTCATCTTGATGTCCAGGAATCTTGTTTTATTCATATGATTGTTGATTCCTTTGTTAACGGCCTTAGCTCCCTGCAACCTGTCCATAGCGCGTGGAAATGAATTTTGCCCTTCGGCCACTGCGGATTTTCCTTTTCTACTTTTTTATCTTTTTTCTATCTCGACTACCGTGGTTTTTCTAGTTTTGTTCCCCGCTCTATTTTTCCATTTTTCGTTGGCAACTTTACATTTTATATTTCAAACAACCGTTCTTTCTTCTCATTCACGTAGGACAAGTCTTGAAAATGGGAGCATAATTTTGAGCGCTTGAAACATGTCAACTGTTATTTCCATTTTGTATATTTTTGAAACGAAGTTTTAAGTCAAATAAGTAATAAATGTTTGAACTATGAATCCAAGAATTTTTTTACAATTTCCACAAAAATATCCATCTTTTCCAACATTAGCAAATGTGTCGTATCATCAATTGTTTCTAGTTTAGCGTTTGGATTCTGCTTCAATATGCCAACAAACTTCTCATCACTGTAAAAGAAACAACACACTTAAATTAACCCTAATTGACAAACAATAGCCAAATCAAAATATCTTTATCTAGTTTGTAAACTGTAATAAATATGGTGTTATATTTCTCTCTATAAAGAGTTCAGGATCTCCAAAATTTGCGGAAAGGAATATTTTTTTAAGATAACACCAAATCGAGCGTTCTTATATAATTTAACCCTTTATAGGGCCAATTTTTTCTAGTAATATCAAATTAAAATATGTATTTCGGGGATTGAGATTCATTTATAATAAGAAATTTATCTAGCTAAATATCTAAAATTAATTTTATTTTAAAATTAATTTTAGGTACTAGCTTTTCGTAGCAGTTTAGTCAATTCATTGCTGTGTGGTGTATGTAGTTTCTGTATGCAAATAGTGTAGAATTTAAGTATTTTTTTTGACTGTGCGAAATACATCTGAATTTCATTAAGAAAAAGGTATATATATCGCAAAAAAATAAATAAAATCGTTTAGAAGAAATTGATTTATTATGTAAATCTTATTATATAGGCATGGCCACATTCCAAAATTATAAAAGAAAGAAAAGAAAGTTCCTTAAAGGGATCAAGAGAATCATTCTCGTTTTCTTATCAACCAGAATTTCTGTACAGATATCAATTCAACGGTTGGAACTGAGAGGCCGAAACATCCCAGTCCGTTAGCCAAGAATTCTAAATTGAAAGTGAATAAATTGTTACCAACGGACAGTTAGGAGCATGGGAAAAGATCCCTGGCTGGCAATTTATTGGGAGATAACATAGCAAAAAGTAAAGCAAAACCCCTCGTAATCAATATTAAATTTGAAAATAATTTGGCGAAAGCGAATTGCCAAAAAGACTGAAAATTCGTATAACCATGTAACTGAAACATTTTTGCAATAAGAAATAAAGAACAAAAAGTTATAAATAGATTTTTTTTTTCTATTTAGTCGCGACAGTGAATGAATGAGTTTTACATTTGTATTGACATAAAAAGTTAACCGTTGCACTGACTGTTAAGAAAATAATAAAATAGTTATATTAGCTTTGAATAAAATGAAATAAAAAATTAAATAATTGGTTTAGTTTAATTAAAATTCGATTAAGAATGATTAAAAAAATAAATTTAAGAAATTAAAGAAATTTTAAAGCTAGGAAATATGTTGCATCACATAGCTCAAGTGTGAAAACTATTTTTCCTTCATGGGATGGTTGATGGGATTTTCAAAATTTTACCTACTGTATGGAATCAGTCCTTTACTTTAACTTCTGTGCTGATAAATAACTGAATTTTAAAATTCTGTGTTGCTAACCTTAAATGAACCCGATGAAAAAATGATCAAATGTGCATAACGAGTAGGAGAAAAATTGCCCCCTAGTGTAGACTTTAACTGCTACTCATATTCATGCGAATAAAACTCTTCATTGGTGTTTTGTTTTTTTTCAGTATTTTTTTTTATAAGTGACTGAAATAAGTAGATTATAAATAAGTGGTTTTCCTTATAAGCTGGTCTTAAAAATCACTCACATTTTTTACAATGTATAGTATGTACAGTAAAGAAAATCATTGTATCTCAGCAATAAAACTGGGGTCAACTACTTTACAAAGTAAAAGTCATTCACTATCTTCCAATTAGAACTGTAAAGAAAAAATTGCACTGCCTCTCACTCTTTCTGGTACACCATCTCATTTCTTCTCCGTTGCACTGACCTAAATTCCAATCCATTCAAAATATATGCTCTCTGGTCAATTTCTGTTAAGTCATAAAAATTATGAAACAATTATTCTTTCTTAAGTGTTTTACATGCATGCTTACACTTTCAAGCAATGTCATTTGGTTTTCATGGATGGGATGTCCCTGAAGATGCTTTCCAGGACTTTCCAGCTCACCGATATCTCTCTTTTTTCTTGAAACTCCATATTCTCAGTTACTTTTACAGGTGTGAGCCTGCCATTATAGCGAGAAAAAGCACTGAAAATGACCATTGTGCAGTTCCATTGCGACGTCAATATATGTACTGTACCGTACCATTTCTGAAACTCAGTCCTTAACTGACATCAGTTTGGACACCTCCCATTGCTATCTAGACAAGTAAAGTATAGTTTCCCTTTTTGTCCGTTGAAACGAATGAAACTAAGCAGGATTCAGTGAGGTTAATATTTTAAAAAATATGATAGCTTTGTTTTTGGACTTCATAAATACCATGACCATAAATGCCAATATTATGACCTTAATAATTTGACCATGTCTCTTACAAATTTACATACTAATGCACTTCATACTAATAAACCAATTTTATACACAAAACCTTTGTAACTTCGAAACTATTAACCCAATCGATATGAATTCAGTCTGATTCGGAGCAGCCTTAAAAATTTCAGCGGAAGCAATACCTCATTTGTTCAGATAGTAACGATATAGAAATGATACAAAATATGAAAAAGTACTAAACAAAAATAGTACTTTACATCAAAAGACTCTTGTTCGTTTTCATTGTATACAGCGTAAAAAAATGCCATGAATTACTTCAATCGTAAAAATTATAGTGCAACATGAGATTATAGTTCGAAGCGAACTATTCTATTATTTTGTATTTGGAATAATTATAACTCCTAAAATTTAAGTCTTGTTGTCTCGAATTTAGCTTCATTCTATTCACCATAAACAAAATAAAAGAAAATAATATGAAGAAAAAATTCGGAAACAATACCAAAATTTATGAAGAGAGCTGTAAGTAAATTTGTCCCTGTTTTATTCTCTCCCACCAAAAGTTCAAGGTTAGAAGGATACTGTACTTCTCTTGCCAGTTGTCTAGACTCTAGAGAACTGTCGGTGACGAGGTTGAATAGTTTGTAGTAAGAGTGTCGGGTAAACATTTAGTCAGACCAGATTTTGAGTTGTGTCGGTGAGAGAAATATAAAAAGTTCTCTTCTTTGGAATGTGATTTTCTTGTCTCCGTAGCAGCGGACGATCTGGAGGGTCTACTCGAAAGACTTCGGTGAGCAGAGCTTTTTGTTATTTCAGATTTAAACCCTATTTTTACTGTACTATTAACTAATTAAACAAGAGTGGCATATTATATGCGACAAATAAACAAGGATTAAGAAGCACCTAGATAATGCAATGATTATTTCCTGATTAATACAGCAATTTTATCAAAAACTAAACTTACCTAACTCGAACAGAATTTGAACATCTAACAATAAGAATTTCATGTTCGCAACGTCCTTTAGCCTTTACAACAAATGCCATGTCGGTGTATTTTTCCATCACGAAGTCTATGTCTGTTTTCCATTTGAACTTTTGGCCTTCTTTTAGGAGGTCGTAAGCAACTTTCTTCAGAAACAATTCTTGCTACAAAAAAAATATTATGTGTTGATTTTTTCGTCGTTAAAAAAGCTAAAACGTAGCATAAATTATCAAAAAAGATAAATAATGCACTGGAATATTGTTTTTAATTCGGCAATTAATTTTTTTAATGTAATTTTTAAATATGTTGTGAGAAAATTGAATAAGCTCTCTTTTAACAAAAATTCATCTTTTTTTGCCAGACTAATTGCGAAATTCTCTTAGCTTTTCCTAAATAGTCTTTCTTAGCTCATTTCAGGGAATCCACGTACTTTTTGGCTAATTATAAAATATATCATTCATTGTTCAGCTACCCTTATTTATTTCGGAATAAGCCAAGAAAGGAGTAGACTAACTGTCATTAGGATTCTTCAAGATTTATTCTAATAAGCATAAGCAAACTCAGTTTGATTGAGTCATTCTTCGCATATTTTCAAATTCATCTGAAGGTACGTAGGCTCATTTTAATAACCCTGAAAAACATAAACAGAAAATTCTGAAAACCTTTCCAACTGTCGATTCCATAGCATCTCAAACATTCTATATGGAATTAAGTTCTGGAGATCTGGCTGGCTCAACAATTGAGCACATACTTTTACTTTGAAAAAATTGTCGGCCTGGGACGACAATGCGCTATGAAACCATGCATCGTCGTCCGTTTCAAAGAAATCTGGGAAACATTTACAATGAAAAAAATAGAGCTCCCATGCCTATACCTTAAACCATATTAAGTGATTTTATCAAAAACCTGTTGAGGCGGGTAGTCATTAAACTAGAAGCCTACCCGGACAATCAAATCTCCGCTATCATAATGATCATTTTCTAGATATTGGAGGAGAGAATTCCTGTTTCTCTCCGAAAGGAAGCGTGAATCATTTAAACCGGAAATGGAACCATTTCAGCAAGAAACTCGCTATCTGCACTGTAGTATCAGATTTAAAAAACATCTACATAAACATAGAAACTTAAATTATGAAAATAAAAAGCCAAAAAAATACAAAACATTTATGTAATTAGTACCAATTTATTTAACACTTAGGGCGCCCCATGTTCGCGACAATTCTACCGCTCCCCGATTACTTTAATAATTGTTTTACTTGACGATATATTGATTTATAAATAAGTAAAAAATATTTAATATAAAGATCACAAAATGTTTCAGTCTAAGGATAGATAATTGTATAAAGATAAGCATATAAAGCGCCATGGATTAAAATTCATCGTAAGAGCTCCGGGTTACTGCTTCCTATTCATTTTTTCGCTTAAGTTTTAAAAAGTGGCCCCTAATATTATTATACGTGTAGTATTTACAATAAAACACGTTCTTTCCATTTAAATGTTTGCTTAATCCATTTAATTTTAGCTGAAAATGAATTTAGACAGCTTCACAAGCATGCTATGATGATGCCCAAAAAACTTTACGCTTTATTTACACCGTGATATTATTTTAATTAAATTTCTGTAAGGCTCAAGGATTTCTTAGTATTTATAAATCCCTAAAAAATCTTATTAATGGTAAATTTACGCTTAAATTTAAGCATAAGTCATAAGAATAAAACCTTCTGGAATACCAAGACAGTTCAAACATTGCCTCATTGACATAACATAAGCGGAAGGATACACCGGAAGTTTTAAAAGTTTCTTTAAAAGTTTAGAACATTATTATTGTTTAAATTCAGTTCCCCATCCCTTAACGCAGACTTGATTCAACAGAGAGTTAAAAATTAGAATTAAATAACTGCAAGTGGCGTCATTGTAGGTAAATCGTGGCATTTAGCGAATCAGAAGACAATCACGTTCGATACACGTGGATGACGTTGCTTATAATTAAATTTGATTTAAATCACATGGTTAGACATAATCACTTCACTTCTCGAGTTGCGAGTACTCGATTAACAATTAGGCTGGTATTAAAAAAAAAGACTTGGAAGTAATTTCAAAATGTGCATACGTAATTAAAATAGAAAGGAATAAAATATACTGTTAAATGAGTGATAGATAAATTAAAATCTTAAAGAATAATAAAAAACAATTCTTGATTTTTACTAACTTAGGGAGCATTTCTACTAAAGATAATTTGATCGTTCCAGCTTAAATACACCAATCAAATTCCCAATCTCTAAATGAACATTTTAAATGAGCTTTTATTTTGATGATAAAGTGGCAGAAAATATTATCGTTGCAGGGTAGGAAAATATTTTGTATTAAAATGAAAAATTTGCTTTCAAAACATTTGAATTTTACACAAAATCCTTTATTTATAACAAAAATAGAAAGAAAGATTGTTTCCACTCTTCTCTTAAGAAGAAAACCTATTGTAGTTAGTTTTCGAACGGCATCATCAAAGCAATTAGCAGCAGACTTCATAAGCTCCGTTTGGAACTGATTCAATAACTATTCTTAACTCGATATAAATCTTTAAAGTTTTATTGATTTCAAGTTAAATACTTTACCGCTTTTGTGGCTGATGGCATGGCGGCTATGCTTAGAATTTTCTTTTTAGCATCCGCCAAGGTAAGTTTTGGATCAAGGGACCTCAGAAATCTATTCTGTGCATTATACTGCGACAAGACATTTTCCAGGCGATTTTTTTCACTCAACTCAACGTAAGGTCCGTGGTCTATCATAACCATTTTTTCTACCAATTGTGGCTGTAAATAAAAATTTAACATTCAATAATAAAGTATAGAACAAAAATAAAAAATAAAGGAGGATTTTTTTTAATATACAAAAGACAATTTCCTCCATTTTTAAATCCAATTAAACTGCTATCACTTTTAACGTCACAAAATTATGGTGAGTGTTAGGTAATGATTATTCTTAATTTAAATCATTAAAATCCTAATCAAAGATGCTGTTAAATATTGGCTTAGTTATTATTTAATAGTTTAAGCTTCTATCATCACATGAGGATTGAAACATAAATTTTCTTATGTAATATTTATTTTTTAATTTATATTTGATGAAACCAAAGAGTGTATTAAAGCCTTTTCAAGATTTAGAACCAATTCAGTACCTCCATCACCTTTAAAAATAGAAAGCTTTAAGACGAGATCATAAGAGTAGATGCAACTGAATTTTGCTTTGAGATTATTCAGCATGAGGAAAAAATTTTCATAAAAGTAACTATATCACTTTCTAGAATAGGAAAGCCCTTCATTACACGTCATAACAGCAATCCACTGAGACTAATAAATTGCTCCTTGAGCTTATTTTTGATGTAAATAAAATATTTTACAGCAATAATTTTTTAAAGCCGGAAACCTTCATACGATGCTATAAAAGTGGTCTTCTCAGACTACTGAATTATTCATCGAGTTTATTTTTTATGTAGATGAAGAATTTGACAGCCATCATCTCTTAGAGCTGGAAGCCTTCATACGATATGCCATAAAAGTAGTCTTCTTAGTCTACACAATTGTACCATGAGCTTATTTTTGATGCAGATAAAAATATTTTGCATCCATCACCTTCTAGAGCTAGAAATCGTCCTACGACGGCGTAAAAGTAGTTCGCTAAGATCATTAAATTATACCTCCATCTTAGTTATACGATTAGGTAAATTTTTTAACCCATATAAGTCTAGGGTCCTTTAAAAGGACAGTTTCATTCTTCGAAGAAGAAAAAAGTGATAGGACAGGAATGGAATTCTTAAGAAAGGTAGAGGTAGTTCAAGTTTGGGGTAACAAGGTTGTTTCGTCTACCAACATTTTTCGGAATATAAATACTTATATTTGGGTCTTCAATCAATGCGCTGTGCCTCTGTTAAAAAAGCTAAAGTTTAAAGCTTTTAAAGTTTTAGCTTTTTGTGAACGCAAGAAAATGAAATAAGCTAAAGTGAACGCAAGAAAATGAAATATCCATTTGGCATAGACAAATATGTACTACCACTTTTGTTTTTGATAAATAGACCTTTTTTGTGTCTCGACATTAAGGGGTTAATAGCAACAGCTTCCTAAAACTTGAAACCACGGCATTATAAAAGTCGTCTGAGCATGTAACTGAATTGTGCTCTAAAAGAGTACCGAACCGAGAGAAAAGCTCTTCATCGCGAATTCTGTTTCAGCTCCATAAATAATTTAAAGTGTAGAAAAGTGAGTTCCGGCAAAAGTAGAGTCAGCCATGAAGTTCATATTGCTGGAAAAAAAAATCAAAACATCAAAATGTGAGAGATTTATTGGAAGAGAACTTCCCAATTTCGTGATTCTAAGTTATCCATCTCATAATTCTTTTTTTCATTTTGATGCTTTGAAAATTTATTTTCAGTATTTGAAATTTATGATTCACTCTAATTTTTCCTAATCTGATTTATTCTATAATTTAAATTACTTTTTGAGGTGAAAGAGTATTTATGATGAAAAGTTTCCTCCGTGGTATAGTGTTCTCATAGGCTTATTCAAGATAAAAATTAAATTCTGCATAGCCATCACCTTTGAAAAATAAGAGCCTTTATCCTTTGCCATAAAAGTGTTCTGTGTTCAAACTACTCAAAGAAGGAATCATTTTGAATCTGAGCCTACTTTCATAAAAAAATTCGTGAAAGAAACTTACATAATCTCAATATTTATGTACTTAAACTAAAATTAGCCTGTGATAGTAAGCAACAGCAGGAGTTTACCCTTTACCAAGCCTTATCCTAATATACTTATAGACTAAACCTAATTTACCTAAGCCTAGTATAGTAAGTCTAATGTACTAAGCCTAATAAACGAGATGTTCTATAGTATCGATTCTTTATGCTTATTTTAGAATTCTTGTAAGAAAATAAAGACTGAAAAGTATACACCTTGAGAATCACAGATTAATATTTAAGTGAAGGAAAAACGAAAGTGTGTTCGAAATTTGAAAGAAACATAAAAAATGAAAATAGGCGGATGAAACTTGGGTGTGTCTGGAACTTGTCTTCTTCTACTTTTTTTTTACTTATTTTCTACAACAAATTAATATTTTTTTTACCATTCCACAGTAGGAATTGGTCAGAATTCGAGAGCTTTTTTTTTCTTTGCTTAAAACTTTATTTGCGACCCCATAAACATATATTGCTTTACACAGATTATACTTATATGTACGTACTTGCTCGAGAGCTATTAGGTATGCAATGGGAGATGAAAAACTATGGCAAATAAATGTAGCTGTTTTAATGTTGTGATCTCTGAAGAATTTCTTTATGTCTTCTGTCATTAAAACCATATCACACTTTTTACAGGAAGGACTTTCATTGTGATTCCTCAGGTCGAGTGTGTATACCTAAAGAAATAAAAACAATGAAAATAAAAAAAAAATCATGTTTTCAATTTTTCTGAAGTAGAATATTTATCGAAAATAGACTTAAGTCATGAAATAATCAGTCAATAATTAACATAAGTCATAAAATAATCAGTCTATAATTAACATGATACAGTCCATAAGTTTCTGAACGTTCAATTACGAATTAGCAGGTCGTTTTCATTGTGGACATAGCTGAAATTAATCAAAAATATACACGTAGTTCAAAATTGCGCATTTCCAAAAAAGGACGACGTAGTTCAAATAAAATAAGCGGTGGTAGCCCAGTAGTTAGAGAATCAGACTTCGCTCCGGAAGGGCCAGGGTTCGATCACCAACTCTGCTAAACTCTATCGAGCACAAGCGATATACGTGCTCGTAAAATCAGTAGAATCAAAAGTCCTGTACTCGGTCGCTGAGCAGTACTATGGTTACAGGGATTTGGAGAAAATTTCATTCTCCTTCGGGTCCATGACTAAATTGAGGAAATGGCATCATGAATTGGTGGCGTTGCTATCTATCCGGGGGAGTTCTAAGCTAAGGCGGTCTTTCACTTTTGCGGTGATCTCTTGTCAAACGAAAGGCGCACCTTTCCTGACTTGATTCAAAAAAGGCCAACGGCTCGCGAGCTTGGTTTGTCCATACGTTGTTAGAAACTGCAACATTTAATAAAATGTATGGAGCTCAAAATGCTTATTTAAAACAGTGGGAGTAACTTAAAATGTGTGCTTAAGGAAGATGACATATGTCAAAATATGAATATTGAAAATCAAAAATGAACACAAATTTTAACGAAGTCTTTTATACGCTTTTCAAGCTATGTCCATATTCTTCAACACCCATTTTGATCTAAATTAAAAGCTCTCTGTCGAAGTCTATTTATGACAGATAATTCCTATAAAAGGCAGCCATGACTAGGCGAAAGAATAAGTTCCGCAACGGTTTTCATACGAGACCAGTCAAAAATATTTGAAATATTTTTACCATCAAGATTTCTGAACATTTCTATTTGAAAAGTCTATTAACAGGTTATTTTTAATCTAATTTCGTGATTGACTTGGAAAAGATAATCATTATCAGAGTTTTCATTAGCCAGCAAGTTCATTAACCTCTAAACCAGTGGTTCCCAATTTTTTTTTTTTTTTTTTTTTGTCATTAAACTCAAAATACTCTACCTTCTTTTGGCATTTCCCCGAAGATTGAACACATTAACCAAACTAACTATTTTGAGAAGATTTAATGCGAAGAATATATATTTTTCCATCTTTTTTTATCTGTAACAATTTCGAAATTAGGTAATACATCGGCAATTGAATTGTCTGGTCTGAAGCGATATTTTTAGTCTTGTTCCGAGGTTTTTCTTCGGACTATGCAAAAGTTGAAAACGAATATTATGAAGGAATAAATGAAATGAATGAATTATGGTTAAAATAAAAAACTAACAAATCGCAACAATTGTTGAGGATAGTTATCATTATTTCCTAATTCAATCAATATATTAAAAAAGCTATTTTTAAAATTTATTACTTTATTTTTTCCATTGAAAAAAGAAAGAAAGTTAGCAAAAATACCGAAATATTAAATAAATGATGGACTATTGATTGTATTGAAATTGACGGCTTTCCTGTGTAAGCTATTAGAACCATTATAGAACCTAGATTGCGGCTACGCATGTGGTAACTATGAAGGTCAGAAATTACGTGTTTGATTTGATGTTTCATTTTTGCGTATGATTTTGTAACCTAAAATGTCAACTTCACAAATAAATTTTATTTTGTAACCGTCGTTGAATAGCCGACCCAATTTCGGGCTTACGACAACTAATGTTCAATTCTGCAGCCTAGTCATTTTGAACCCAATCCAGAAGACAAAAGTACTCCTGGATCAAGTATTGAGGGAAATTTACTTTCGTGGAGGACTTTTTGATGGAACTAACCCGCATTTACGTTACATGGTGAGAGAAACCACGAAAACCTCTCACGGTCAGCCCGATGGCAAAGGGACTCTAACCCATGATCCGTCTCAGGGCTAAAGAGAATAGAAGGGCTAGTTCACTCCGCTCTTAGAGCTGAAGCTACAATTTCCCTCCTCATGACGTCACTGTGTCAACAGATCTCGCAGATCGCAAGCAAAGATATGATAACTTTGCATCTTTCTCTTTGTAAAAATAAGTTAGACTTTTTCTGGCTATTAGCCTTCAAACTTTACGTAATTAACACATTATTTCCGTTCATTAACATAGTTCAAAAAAACTTTCTTGGTTATTATATTTAAAAAAATACCACTTTAAACTTATAAAAATGTTTTACTAGTTGGCGAAAATGACACTNAGGGAAATCGTAGCTTCAGCTCTAAGAGCGGAGTGAACTAGCCCTTGTATTCTCTTTAGCCCTGCATAGAACCTAGATTGCGGCTACGCATGTGGTAACTATGAAGGTCAGAAATTACGTGTTTGATTTGATGTTTCATTTTTGCGTATGATTTTGTAACCTAAAATGTCAACTTCACAAATAAATTTTATTTTGTAACCGTCGTTGAATAGCCGACCCAATTTCGGGCTTACGACAACTAATGTTCAATTCTGCAGCCTAGTCATTTTGAACCCAATCCAGAAGACAAAAGTACTCCTGGATCAAGTATTGAGAGAAATTTACTTTCGTGGAGGACGTTTTGATGGAACTAACCCGCATTTACGTTACATGGTGAAAAAAACCACGAAAACCTCTCACGGTCAGCCCGATGACAAGGGGACTCTAACCCATGATCCGTCTACCACAGAGGATATTTTATGTCAACACTGTGGTTGGTCAGATCTGAGAGTGGAATGCGTATCGACTAGCCATCCTTGGGATTCGAATCCGGTTCGCCTTATTGGAAAGCGAATGCTCTATCCTCTGAGACACCCACTGCTCTAACAAATTAATTATCTTATTAAGGTTAGGTCTATGAGCCATTGAGACCCTGAACGCAAAAATACGATCCGAGTTACTAAAGTATATAATTTAAGAGTTTTTTTTTTTTTTTTTTTTTTTTTTTCTCGAGCACATTTTACTCATAACCAAGTAATCGAAGCCTAATCACTGTTATAAGTACAAGATTGCAAAATATTATTCGTCATAAGTGGATTTTTATTCCTTTTTGAAACACTTTTTTTTTAATTTTTAAGTAAAATTTACTTATGAAAAAATTAAATTATGCTGTTTTGTGAAGTTAAATATGAAAATAACTCCTACCTTTCTTTTTGTCTCCTTGCTTAAAGCTCTTCCCAATTCCTTCATCATGAACTTATTCCAAAAAATGCCATGAATAAGTATGATAGGATTTGCATCTTGCCGAACATCATTTTGTTCGAATAGATCATACGCTAGAGTAACAGCTTCCATACTACAATTCTATGATTTAAAACAAAAAAGAAAATTATTCAAATGTTTTTTTTTCTGGTTGAGAAATTATATCTTTTATTACAGCAATACGAAAAAAAGATTGAATTTTCGGGACATTAAACTATATTCGCTGCAAATCTAAACTTTAAACATAGTTTATATGAATTACGATGATATGTAATGTTCCGTCTCTATAAAATAGTTCCCATTAATATTACTTATAATAGTATTAAAAGAAGAGCAACAACAAAAAATATATACAAATTACATTGAAAAGAATGGTAGCAAAAGACAGTTTTTCGAAGATTCCGTGTTTATACGAAACAATGTTTTCTTTTTTTGTTAAAAACTATTTTATTTTAACAATTTTTTTTCTTCTCTTCTTATTAATCTTTATTATCTTCCGTGTTTTCTCTATATTTTTAACTTATTTTATGAGTTCTATATACTTGCAGCACTAATACGAAGTAAATAAAATTCATTAATTTTCTTAATTTCCATAGTTTTTTCTCTTTGTCTTTATTGTGCTTTATATATATATATGTTACCGGCAAAGTATGAAAAGCCGGCGTTGTATAGAATGACTAGGCATTGTATAGATTGCCTGACGTTTTTAGGCAAAGTATGAAATGCGAGAAGTATTACATACTTTGCCTAGGCATTGTGTAAAATGCCTAGGCATTCTATACAATGCCGGATGCTATTTAGGCAAAGTATGAAATAAATGTCCTGATGAGGTTATTATGTAAATGATGTTACTGTGAATGAGCGAAATCGGTGGTTGTTGATTTTCACCTGTGAATGTTGACAATCACATAGTCGCTTTGGTGAATGTCCGAAATATTTATTACATCCGATTTGATATTAATTTATTCGTGGATATAATTACATTTATTCGATATTTTAATACTTAGTAACGATAGATTAGAAAAAACATCAGTGTTTGGAGTATCGGACAAATCAATACCGGGCAGTGACCCTTGACTTTAAAAAACATCAGTGTAGGGTATACCGGGCAATGGCACTTGACCTTAAAAAAAACATCAGTGTAAGGTATACCGGGCAATGGTGCTTAACTAGACCTAGTATATATTTCGGACATTTACCAAAGGTCCAATCTCACTAATTCTAGTTAAGTGCCATTGCCCGGTATACATTTGCCCGGTATACCTTACACTGATGTTTTTTTAAGGTTAAGTGCCATTGCCCGGTATTCCCTACACTGATGTTTTAAAGTCAAGTGCCACTGCCCGGTAAACCTCACACTGATGTTTCTTCTAATCTATAGTCAATAAGTATTAAAATATCGAATAAACGCAAAACTACCGATTTCGGTCATTTACAGTAACATGCATTTCTGAAGAAAAAAAATGTTATTCTGAAAAAATACTGAGAGCGCCATTGAAAAACATTTATTCAAAATGTGGAAAGAAAATCAAAAAGTTATGCAAAACAAAATTTAAACGTTTCTTATAAAGGGAAACAAAATATTCATATAAAAAATGAGAAATTAACCTACTTGTTGCAACCTGGCAGGCTTGAATGACATTTTGAATTACATTTCATTAAGTTTTTCCAGGTAAATTTAATTAAATTCCTCCATTTCCATGTAGCACAGTAAAAAAATAATTTTTGTTATTAGTCAAAGAGTCACGAGCCATGCGTTAAAAATCACGAGCCTCGCCAAGTGGTATTTGAAATGAATCGGAGATGTATTTTATACTTTGCGGCAATCTATAGAATGCCTAGGAGATGTGTGAAATATAAATCATTTCATACTTTGCCGGTAACATATATATATACATATATATATAGCACAAAAATAATTACAGATGAAGCATCCTCATTGCCAATTTCGCAGCTCCCATATTTAAGTACATAACACAGAAAAACTTATAATAATTTTTATTCGAAGTAATGTTATAACCCTTAAATAAATTTTGATATTAATATACTAAAAAAAACCATCTTAAAGCATAGGCGAAGCGTGAAAAAAAATTTTGAGGTATCATGCGGGTTTCTTTAACTTAATTTATTCATTTCTGTAATGTATTCAAGGCAGATATCGAGTCTACATTTTGATATTTTATTTTCTGAAAATTAAAAACGCTATGTCAAAATTTCTTATAACCACTTGTTGTAAGAGGTTGAGATTGATATACTGTGCGCCAAAACAAACAGACCACCCGGAATAACTTATGATCTAATGATTGGATCTTCACGGTCTAGGACTCCTTCTGAAGGGAATTGCTTGAAATGTGCAAATTAATTAGTGCCGACGATTTTTTAGGTTCATAATGATCAAAATCTCTATTTTTCCTAATCTAATAAAGCGACCCTTTATTTTATCCACTTTTTTTAAAACTTTTGTACTATTGAATAATACTACANCGGATGCTATTTAGGCAAAGTATGAAATAAACGTCCTGATGAGGTTATTATGTAAATGATGTGCATGTTACTGTGAATGAGCGAAATCAGTGGTTGTTGATTTTCATCTGTGAATGTTGACAATCACAAAGTCGCTTTGGTGAATGTCCGAAATATTTATTACATCCGATTTGATATTAATTTATTCGTGGATATAATTACATTTATTCGATATTTTAATACTTACTGACGATAGATTAGAAAAAACATCATTGTTTGGAGTATCGGACAAATGTATACCGGGCAGTGACCCTTGACTTTAAAAAACATCAGTGTAGGGTATACCGGGCAATGGCACTTGACCTTAAAAAAAACATCAGTGTAAGGTATACCGGGCAATGGTGCTTAACTAGACCTAGTATATATTTCGGACATTTACCAAAGGTCCAATCTCACTAATTCTAGTTAAGTGCCATTGCCCGGTATACATTTGCCCGGTATACCTTACACTGATGTTTTTTTAAGGTCAAGTGCCATTCCCCGGCATACCCTACACTGATGTTTTTTTAAGGTCAAGGGCCACTGCCCGGTATACATTTGCCCGATTCTCCAAACACTGATGTTTCTTCTAATCTATCGTCAGTAAGTATTAAAATATCGAATAAATGTAAAACTACCGTTTTCGGTCATTCACAGTAACATGCATTTCTCAAAAATAAAAATGTTATTCTGAAAAAATACTGAGAGTGCAATTGAAAAACATTTATTCAAAATGCGGAAAGAAAATCAAAAAGTTATGCAAAACAAAATTTAAACGTTTCTTATTAAGGGAAACAAAATTTTCATATAAAAAATAAGAAATTAACCTACTTGTTGCAACCTGGCAGGCTTGAATGACATTTTGAATTACATTTCATTAAGTTTTTCCATGTAAATTTCATTAATTTCCTCCATTTCCATGTAGCACAGTAAAAAAATAATTTTTGTTATTAGTCAAAGAGTCACGAGCCATGCGTTAAAAGTCACGAGCCTCGCCAAGTGATATTTGAAACGAATCGGAGATGTATTTTATACTTTGCGGCAATCTATAGAATGCCTAGGAGATGTGTGAAATATAAATCATTTCATACTTTGCCGGTAACATATATATATACATATATATATAGCACAAAAATAATTACAGATGAAGCATCCTCATTGCCAATTTCGCAGCTCCCATATTTAAGTACATAACACAGAAAAACTTATAATAATTTTTATTCGAAGTAATGTTATAACCCTTAAATAAATTTTGATATTAATATACTAAAAAAAACCATCTTAAAGCATAGGCGAAGCGTGAAAAAAAATTTTGAGGTATCATGCGGGTTTCTTTAACTTAATTTATTCATTTCTGTAATGTATTCAAGGCAGATATCGAGTCTACATTTTGATATTTTATTTTCTGAAAATTAAAAACGCTATGTCAAAATTTCTTATAACCACTTGTTGTAAGAGGTTGAGATTGATATACTGTGCGCCAAAACAAACAGACCACCCGGAATAACTTATGATCTAATGATTGGGTCTTCACGGTCTAGGACTCCTTCTGAAGGGTATTGCTTCAAATGTGCAAATTAATTAGTGCCGACGATTTTTTAGGTTCGAAATGATCAAAATCTCTATTTCTCCTAATCTAGTAAAGCGACCCTTTATTTTATCCACTTTTTTAAAAAGTTTTGTACTATTGAATAATACTACATCTTCAAAAGTTTGGCAAGTTAAAAAATTATCGTGAAAACATAAATTAAAAATTTAACCTAGAATCCAAGGTGGCTCGTATAAAGGCCTTTTAAAATATTCAAGGCTAAAAGTTTATTTTTCAAAATTTCTAAATCAGCTTTAAAACGTGTTGAGATGATCGCGTAGTTTAAAAACATAACTCATAAACTCACATCCACGGAATTTATTACAAATACATATTTTTAAACATGCGGAATAGAAAATTAACATCCAGATTATTTTAGATACGCTTTTGTTTAGTTATGCAACCGAGAGTGAAGCACCGAAGTGGATACCGAAGTTTGCAGTACACCGAAAAGAAAAATATTAATAAGCATAACTTTGCATAACTGTAAGAACTAAGTTACAATCAGAAACAAACTTAAAGCAAAATTAAATTAATTCAATTAACTATACATACTTTATCAGCAATCATTTAAAGTCTGATTAATCAAATATTTTAAAAAAAGATATCACAAATTCCAAGTAACAAAAGCGTTATTACATGAAACACAATATACTACTTCATTTATGTATAATATTAAAATCACGTGACTGAGCTTTTTGCTCTTGATCATCCTTATTCTTGAAGGGCGTGATCTTGCTCTTAGTAGAGAATCATGCCATTACGTGTAAATTACGTGAATAGTCTTATTTTCCTCAACATTTGTAAGCTATCAAAATAATTTTTTTTTGTTAAATGTGAAGGTCCAATTGTCTATAAAAAAAGGATTTGGAAGCATTCGTTTCTGTAAAAAATTTTCCTTATCTTTCTATTTTAGTTAAGAATCATGTGCTAGAATGTTCGAAGGACACCCTAAGCTTCATTAGTGAGTATGGATTGCGTAATTGCAGTTTAAATAGATGAATACAAACTCGTGATTTTGTTTTCGTAATTATTTAAAAATATTGTTAGCTTTCTATTTTTAGTTCAAACTAAAAAATGATCCGTAGATAATATTCGAATCATCCAAATTCAAATTAACGAAAAATTGTTTTCTTTCCTTTTGTTTTAAAGTAAAGAAAAAACCATTAGGAAATATTAATATTATTTTACCACGCTATAAATGTATTCTTTCATTTTATTTTATATCCGTCGTTGAACAGCTACCTAATTTTTTGGGTTTACGATGTGCAACTCCGTAGCCTTGTAATTTTGTACCAATCCAGAAGACAAGGAAACTCCTGGATCAATACCCCCAGAGGTATTGATTTGTTATGGGAACTTGGAGGACTTTTGCGACTCGACAGATTTAATGTGCATCCATCACCATTTACTACACGGGGAGTTTTCGGCCGGTGGGGATCAAACCCATGACCTCTTGGACATGGACCCATTGCTCTACCAACCAGGATATCCCGTTGTTTTTGTTTATTTATTAGAGACGAGATTGAGTTTTTTTGGAGGTCCGAGTTCGAAATACATGGGATAACTTAAAACCCGAGTACGCCAGATCCCGAGAGATACGTTGGATAATTTCGTTTGTCCTTTGTATGAGGATAATTAATCTTTAAAAAATATACATTAACAAAAGAAAATTGCATAATTATGGATGAATAATTTGCAAAATGCATGTGATATTAAGTAAAAGAGGCAAAGACTTATTTTAATGGCCTATTTCCCCTCGGTCTCAGAAATGGCAGAATTACTATACTCTCATATCAGGCAATCTGCCCCAAAATTTTGAAGTCAGGATAAATGAAGGGATGAGTGTGAATAGAAGACCTGACATGAGCAATGGTCGACTGAAGAGGTTTTCTCGGGATTACTCTAAAATTTTGCTTGGCTTGTATGCAAAGTATACTAGGTGGTTAAGGAATTAAGGAAGGGAAACTGATTAATTATACACAGTTACAAGTTTTTCACACATGATATAGTCAGAAAGATCGCTCAGATTTTAAGAAAAAGGACAATAACACTATTTAAAAATAAATATAATTCATTATTAAAAATTATATTAAGGGAAGCTGATATTTGAAAAATAATACATTTTTGCTCTAAATTTTTGACTGTGAAGCAATCTGAACTAATCAATAAAATTCTCACGATGTAATAAATCAGATAAAGAGCTCAATACAAACAATTATGACTACTCATTGCTTATAAAAGTATATTATATTTTTATTAATCTGTTATTCATTATAAAAAAATATGAGTGATTAGGAAAAAATCCTTGATAGCGATATAAATCCTGTCCTTGTATTAAATAAAAGAGACTCGTAATTTTTTTTTGAGTATTAAAAACGTTTAACGCGATTATTTAAATTATGATGCATACATAGAACAATTAAAAACTATTAAGCTGGTGAAAAAAAATATTGAAATGATTAAAGATGTTTCGCTCTTATTTATTTATTAATATTTTTCCTTTTAGGTATTTAAGCAAGTTAAAGTGCTCTCACAAAAAATTAAAAATCCCTTTTAGAATGCTTTAGATACTTTGCTAAATACTTAGTAAAAATATATTTTTTATTACATGATTTTCATTATTATCTCCAACAACTCTTACTAATCAACAAAATTGTAGTATTTGTTTTCATAATTTGGCCAGATTGATATTTGAATTTCTATATGAAGTTAAATGCCCAAAATTAAAACAAAAAATGGACCACTCTGAATAACTTTTGTATCCCTAATGATTGGATTTTCACGTTCTTAAAGGTTTGAGAGAATGATTTCAACTATGCTAATTAATTATGTGCAGACGATATTTAAAGTTAAAAAAATTTACTTTTTCAGAATAAACATGCCTCTTTTGACGGAATCAAATTTCTGACCCCCAAAATATTAGGGACCCCTTAATGTTAATTTTACTTTTTGCGTACTTCTCTATATCTCAATAACTTTTTAAGTGAATCGAAAAACTTTGCTTACAATTACAAAATTCATTTATCCAAAGTTAATTCCATCCAAAAAATGCCTTTTAATAAATATTTTTAATACTTAATAATGATCGAAAACATTTTTGAGTTATAAGATATAAATATTTTTTGCATCATTTTAAGGAATTTAATTTTACATAGCAAAATCGGTTGAAATAGAAATTAAATTAGAGAAATCAAATTTTAAATATCTGAATTTGGAAATTTAATTTCTCGGGAACTCAACGATTGATTTTTATTGAAGTTATTAATAAGTATATTTAGTAATGCTTTGAAAAGCAATTTTAATTTATTTAATTACATTATACGTTGTTATTTTTGCTCTCAGAACTCAAATTTATAGTTTCTTTTTTCTTCAACTCTGATCTGCATCAATGATTTTTTTGAACAAATAAAGTGATATAAATCGTCAGTTTTAATCGTTTGATTCAAATCATTGACATCCTGTAACATAATTGTAATAATTGAAAAGATTTTGAATTGTGGGATAAAAAAAGTTTTATATTTCTTTTAAACAATGCAATTTTTGATGGCAAAATAGGAGAGGAATCTACAGAGTAATGCCCAAGAAATAAAAAATGGGAGTTATAAATATATTTTTTTCATATAAAATTCAGTTATATGTTCTATAAAAAATAATTATCCTGGATTTTAATTTAGTTTAATTTAAAAGAATTATATTTAATTTAAAAGACTTGTTACTTTACAATTCAATTATATCGATCATTATTAAATTAAGCAAAAAATATATTGAAATATCTAAAATAGTTGGTTTAGCATTAAAAAAAAATAAGAAATCATCAGTAGCATTATGTTGAAATTATGTTTGAAAATTGTTCAGAATTACAAACCAAACAAAAAAATAAAATAAAATAAATGTACTTTTTCATTTAATGCTTTTTCCCACACATTCTGAAAATTTCTTTTAACTTTAGATTAATTTTCATTTTAAAATAAAATAAAGATTTACTGGTGCAGTTTTGGTATCGAACTTTCAGCTTCTGTGACTGCTCTAGTTTTCAATTTTTCGGTGAATTTTTGTTCTACCGATTTCCCTTCGCCGGATTCATGGCTGACGAACCCAGCTTGTGCATTAAAAACATCATTTTTGAATATCACACGTGTAACGCATTCGAACTTTCAATGCTGGGAACATCTTCCATAGGAAGTGTCTTCAATTCTCTTCATTAATTTAAAAATGTCTTCTTCAAAAACAAAAACCTACCTTTTCTTCTCTTTAAGAGCATAAAATAAAACGTCTTTACTAAGAAATCAAACGACGATTGACAATAATGGATTTATAAATTAATTATGTGCGATATATTAAGACACATAAGAATGTGAAATGCTTTCCTTGTAACTTACAAGCTACTTTTTTTAAACAAGTTCATATAGACATCGATATCAGTCACTAGAGCGATCTAGTTCTTGTTTCATTTTTCAGTTTCGAATTACGGAGCATGCGCAGTTAATCCTTATGAAAGAGGAAAGGTATGATTTTTCAATCGTAATATTGGCGAGATTTTTGATTACATATTATCATGCCAAAGATCAATCTAAGATAACCCCTTTAGTTCTCTTCGATGTAAGGCTACCTGCCCCGGATGTTCCTTTCAAAGTGTTGGGATGGTATTTTCGGTGATATTTGGTGGTATTTTCGTTGAAACGACCCTAGAACCATTACCATTTCATTTATGAAATTAAATTTTTTTAATCGATGAATATTTAGTTGAAGTATGAAGGTATGAAAATGATATTTTATGAAGAATAACCTAAGATTTTCATATAAATTTAATGATGAAATTTCGGAGATTAAATTTTAAATTATCTTTAATATTTATACCCTTTGCACTTGGGAATTTAAGAATATTTTATCGGCAAAAATAAATCGTTTTAAATAGAAGAATTTCTACCAATATTTAATACTATTTTCAAATAAATCTAATTAAAGAGTTAGCTTTAGGTAAAGAGTTAGATATCTGCACGACATTGGTAAGGACTAAATTTTAATCAGATAGTCGTGTTTTTTTAATTGAATGGAGGAAAGTAGGTAATAGTTTTGCATAACGTTCATGAAAAATTGGTATTAGTCTTGAATTATGTTGAAGAAAATGGGTGTTAGTCTTAAATTATGCTGAGGCAAACTTGATATTAATTTTGAATTGTGTCAAGGCAACTGGATATTAATCTTTAATTATGTTGAGCCAACATTAGTTTTGAATGATGTTGAAGCAACTGGTCATTAGTCTTTCATTAAAAAAAATGAGTGTTAGTCTCGAGTTAAGTTGAGACAACTTGATATTAGTCTTTAATCATGTTGAGGAAAAGGGGTTTATTCTTTAATTAAGTTGAGGCAGCAGGATATTAGTTTTGAATGATGTTGAGGCAACTAAATGCTTGTCTTGAATTATATAGAGGCCACTAAATACAAGTCTTTATTTAAATAAATAGCTGAAACTGATAGTAGTCTCAAATTATTAAAAAACTGAGTATTTTACATGTATAACTTCTGAGATTAAAATAATAAATAAAAGTAATTTAATGTAAACGCTGTTAAATTACGTGCTTAAATATTTCAGTAAAGTCATGAAACTGTCATAGCATTTTGACTTTAATGCACGTCCGAAAGCAAGAATTTAAAGTTTTAATAAGTTACAAAAATCTCGTTATTCTAAAATAAATGAAATAAGTTTTCAAAGAACTTTCTGTTGCATGCCAAAATGAAGTTTTGGACTTACTGAAGTAAATTATAATAAAAGTATTTCTTTCGCTAAATACCTGATATTGTAATGTGTTAATTAAGTTTTAAAGTCTTAGACCAGTTATTATTAAAACTTGCATATTTCAAAATAAATTGGTTTTTCATTTTATATACATCATTGTCTATATACATTATATACATCACANAAAGTTTTAATAAGTTACAAAAATCTCGTTATTCTAAAATAAATGAAATAAGTTTTCAAAGAACTTTCTGTTGCATGCCAAAATGAAGTTTTGGACTTACTGAAGTAAATTATAATAAAAGTATTTCTTTCGCTAAATACCTCTGATATTGTAATGTGTTAATTAAGTTTCAAAGTCTTAGACCAGTTATTATTGAAACTTGCATATTTCAAAATAAATTAGTTTTTCATTTTATATACATCATTGCGTAGCATCTTATATTATTTTAATAAAATTATATTGCTCAGAAATTGTGCTTTAGGCAAAATTTAAAAAATATTTTGGATCTGTAATGGCAAATACTAATATAGTAAGATATGTACTAATAACTATTCAAAATACAATTTTATTAACTGCATACTAGCTTGGCTTCCTAATTCTATACACAAATACACGTCCTTAACACACATATAAAGAAAAATTTGTACTTGGTATAAACTAGGAATAATATATAAAATACAGTCATTGAATGTAATATCTATGTAATGCAGTACATTTACATAGAATATTTTTTCTCTTAACAATAGAATATTTTTTCTCTTAATAATGCAGTCAGGAAGTTTGTATTCGAAATATATAGTTGTCAAAATAGAGAGAAAAAACAAAACTCAGAAATAAGTTTTCACGTCATATCTATATGAAAACATATATTTAAAATAAATACGAATACTTTAATCCAAAATTCTTTAGGTATAAAAATAAAAAATAATGTAGCTAATTAGACGCAATACATTATATATATGTAATACAGTACATCATATATAGAACATGCAAAAATGTATACATATTTTTTTCTTCAACATCCTATATGAGTTGTCAAAAAGTAATAAAAAAATAAAAGAAAACTTCAAATAAAATTCCTTTCATGCATATTAAATATATATATATATATATAAAGAGAGAGAGAGCGAGAGACAAAAAGTTAAAAGTTATACAGATAAATTCAAATTTAATTCTATATACATAGAAAGGAAAACTTAAACATGGCATGTAATATAAATTATGTTTGTGAACGAGATGAAGTATATTATACACAATCTAAAATCGATTTTTTAAATTTATTTTTCTTTAACATCTTATGAAAGTCGTTAGGAATTTAGTGTCTTTTTTTCAATAAATGAAAAATCGTGACAACTCTTATAGGATGTGCAAGAAAATGCTTTAAAACCAGATATATGTTTTTGCATATTTGTTAATTACACTCTCAGAAAATTGGATTCAACGTTGAACCATAATATCTGTACTTTGAGCCATTAATAGGGAGCAAATTTGATGCTCCCCAAATAAAGTGTTGGACTCAACTATGTTTCTCAGCAAGTTGAATCATAGTATTATGTACACGGTTAGAGATTTCATTCTAAAATTATGGTAAAATAACTGGCAACAGTCTGTCTCTCCAACTAACCTAATTTACGGTAAAGAACATTTTTTACCGTTGTAGTTTTGAAACCGTTTGCAACTAGTTATATGCATGAACCATTTACAATTAGTTAACCGTATGTATGGTTAAAAAACCATACATACAGTTTTTTAACCATTTGCAACTATCACAAAACCGTGAAAAAGAAATTTAACTGGACATTGGATATAGTTTATTAGCTTTGTGGTGCTGTTACTTACGCGTGAATGAGAGTATCGTATTCTAATGAACCCGGATCATTAATTGCGATAGTTTATTAGTTTCGTGGTGCTGTCACTTACGCGTGAATGAGAGTATCGTATTCTAATGACCCCGGATCATTAATTGGGAGAAGAAGGACACTGGAGACTCTTCGTGTGTTGAAGGGAATGGAGAAAATATTGTGGCGTCAACACTTGGACTCGAACCCCCGTTTTGTCGGTCATGAAATTGACAGATTAGACTTATATTAGCTAGTTATAATATGGAACTAAGTGGCTTCATTAGGTGGGCTTAGTTGGTGAGATAAAATTCTGGTTGCTTAACCATATTACATGAAAGCAATTGATAAACGATTTTTCTCACTGTTAACAGTTCGGATACCATCTTATTTATGACTATTTGGCTGTTTTATTTGAATTTGGTAAAATGACAATTAAATAAATTGTTATTTAGCCATTTTTTCAGAAAAATTTCTAACACTATATAATAAAGTTCAATTTGATGCAATCCACATAAAGTGTTAAATTTTATTTCGTATCTGTACAAGTTGAACCTTTGTATTGTGTAATTAAGTTTTAGTAATATGATAATATGGTTTAACTTAGCATGATATTAACATTACTGTGAATTTGAACGATATTATGGTTCAATACGCTTAAAAAATTTCAATAGTACACTACATTTGAATTTTTCAAAAACAATTTATCAAATATTCAAAAATAAAGATCACATTTCTATCACTGAAAATTAAGTGAATTTTAAAACATTCTAATATAAAATTACTTCGACTGAAACATACGGTTTTATCCATTATGTGAGCAAATAACAAAAATTTCTCAAGAAAATGCATTTTTTACCTATTTAATAATTGTTTAAATCATATTAGAAGCAGAAAAATTCCAGCAAACTACTATCACCTTAAAACTTATTTTCTTGAGGTTTGTTTGAAACAGCAACATTTAATAAAATGTATAGAGCTCAAAATGCTTATTTAAAAAATTGAGAGTAACTTAAAATGTGTGCTTAAGGAAGATGACATATGTCAAAATATGAATATTGATTGAAATTAAATTTGGTATGGATTGCCATATATTACTCGCGTGTTACCTCACAATTTACAAATATATTTTAAAAATGGAATGAGCTATAAACTTTAAGTATGAAATTAATTTAAAACAATTAGTATTATGTGTCTATAAAATTATTATTTTTAAAGTATTCTTAGCCTTTATAAACTTCAATTTTTTAACAATGAACAAAAATTTGAAAATAATATGAGTTAAATTTTAAAAAATCTATTTAATTCTTAAAAATAAATTTAAAGTATTATTAGGATTCACCTCTTAACTTATAAAAATCCAAACTGTTGCCAACTATAGTGATGAAATTTTTGAACCTAATAACTATGAATGTATATATAAAACAGAAATAGATAACAAATCAATTGCTCAACAGATTGTTTCATTAATCAGAGCACAAATTTTAAGGATAAAAGAGAGCATAATAAAAAAATGTTTTTTTGTCTTAGAACGCATGACATTAAACGTAAATAGTATTTTTGTAATAATAACGTAATTTTTCGTATGTAAAAACCGTCTAAAAATATAACAGAAGACTAAGATCTAGAACATTCTTTTTCTCAACAACTGTTAAACGTAGAATATCGTGCTTAACACAAAAAAAATTATCATTGGAATTCTGAACAATTAGCAAAAGTTCCTTCCCTCAATAGAAATTCTTTACCCTGATAGTGGAATAAATATTTTAAAGCAGCTTGCTTCATCCCCTAGTTTCAATCCCTCAGAATGTTTGTGGGGAATAAGGAAAAATTAACTAAAAAAGCAGAATAGAAAACAGTTAAAGAATCAAAGGAAGATTCGATAAAAATATGGAACTGAGGAAACTATCGACGCTCCTAATTCTTTCGTTCAATCTGTGTGAATACGGCCTCAAATGATTATTAATGCTAAAGATGATAGCATTTACAACTGATTTATCTGTATAATATTGTGTAAAGATAAGAAATCTTGAAATAAATTTTAATTTATGATTTCTATTTTTGTTTTCTTAAATAAAGCATTTGTTTAAAGTTTCAAAATCATTTTCTGTACTGTATTTTACGCAGACCTATAGTCCCTTAGGCCGTCACCAAAGTTCAAATATTAAAGTTCCAGTAAACGAAAAGTCACTGTAGCAACATCCCGCAATAGGCCAGGAGGATATCGAGGTTAAGGCAGCACAAAACCGTGACCAACTATAATGTGACTTTAAATTCAAATCCTGTTCTATCAGATATTAAAGTATGAACTTCTGCTAATGAGATATTGTGAATATTTTCTATCGGATACACGCATTTATTCAAGTTACATATCAAGCACTGATGCACTCGAAAACAACTATTGTTTATAAGTGTTACTTATCATCTATAAATGGATACTGAGACAAAACTTCTAAACGTTTTTCAGGAGTATAGTGAACGAGTGATTCAAAGAATTTCAATGTTAAATTATGCTTTTCCTCCGAATTCTTAATGTTAGCAGCAACTTTTTCTTCTCTCGTCTTAGCTTTTTCATTTCTGGCAATGCAGATTTCTTCATAAGTGTTTATGGGATCACCACTCGATGTTTGAGAGCAACCGATTTCTCTCAAGTGTTCTCTACACAACACCAGCTCATAACTGCCCTTGTTGTCTTTTCGAGCAGTCCTTCCTTTGATTTGTGTTTCTTCTTTTTCATCCAAAGAAAAGAATGTTTGAATAACGTGCACACCTCCGTTCTCTTCCACGCTGCGGTCGTTCGATTTGTAATCAATTCCTCGACCCATAGCTCTAGTGGCCAAAGTCACTGTTTGAGAAACGCCAGCTTCATTGATTCGCCATTCCATAGCGGACGATTCTTCATTCCCAATCAAAACATACAAGCGATTGATATTACCACGATATTTTTCTTCAAATGCTTTTACTTCAATATCAGTATCAAAAAAGACGAGAACAGCGCGATTATGCTTAATGTTTTCCAAGAGATGGTCGAATATTTTCGAATGCCAATTGCTTTCTGAATCTTGTACGATGAAATGCTCAGTTGATTTGAAGACGAGCTTGCGTTCTCCGAAAAACGATGGCATCGCTGACATAGTTTTTATGCCATAGTTTTTCATAGCAGTTTTCTCTGATTCGTCCAAAGTCATTAAGGTACCGCTCACTCCTAAAATAGAATTGTACCTCAACGGTAAGTTTGCGTAAGATAGTGAACCATAACCTAACTTCAAATAACCATAGTTTATGTAATATTTATCGTCAAAATTTTCTTTTTTCAACCTAAAGTAATTGAATATGTTATAATAATTGTTATAAGTAGTCGAGCTATATATACCGAGGCTGTTCCTGCAGCAAATCAGTCCGTAAAAATCTATTTTGTATCGTTCAATAAACCAAACACTCTCATTTTTTTGCTTCGATACACTAATAGCATTTGAAACCATAATTTCTAAATGTTGCTCAAATAAAGAATTGGTATTCGCTATGAATGTTTTGAATTCGGCGTACTTTTCATCTTTCAGTATTTCAGTAATAAAATCTCTTACTTTTTCCTTCACGATGCTCTTTTCGTATAAACCTCCTTCAACTATTTCCCACAATTTGGGTTGAATTTCTCGTAATGCTGGCATACCTATATTGACACATGGGTTATAAGTCATACCATAAAAATTATCCGAAAAGAAAACATCAACTTCGTCAATCAAAAGAACGGGAGTCGAATGGCTTTCAGACACCCTGATGCTTTGCGGATGTAATTTATTTAGAATTAAATCAGTCATGACAGAATTCATACTTTCTTCGGTGTTATCAACTATAAGTTTTAAAGAATCAAAAACTATGTTATCAAATGTCTGGTAATTTATCTCATTCTTTATTTGAAATCTTGAGAATAACTCAAAAAAATTGTCGAATGCCATTTTATCACGCAGTGCCAAATATCTGCTGTAACACACCACATTAGCTTTGTTGCCAGTCAATGCAATTACAGCACCGAGAAGACCGAAAATAACTGATTTGCCTTGGCCAGTCAAGACTTGTGCGAAATGTTTTGGTACACCTTTTTCCAGATTATCCACGCCTAAAAGTCTAAGAATGCACAGAATTTGAACGCAATGTGGCTCGATTTTCTTCTTGATATTTAAAACATCCTTAGATTCTATAATGATCCAAACAGCTGCTACTTCAGCGAGTAAGATTGGTACAACAGTCTGCTTGAAAGATGGCGTCCACTGTTCTAAAGGCAAACATTCCTGTTCCTCAATATCTTTTTCTATTTCACCAAGAATACCCGGTATATCTAATTGTTCTAAAGATCCAAGTTTTTCAGAATATAGATTAAAACAACTTTCTAAAATACTTCTGTTGATGCTAGTGTTAAAACCTTTTTCTTTAGCCTCCATAACTTCCAATTCACATAATTCTAGAGCACGTTTAATTCCAATTTGGTTTTGCTTTCGAGCATAGAGGAAAAAGTTTTCGACATTATCTAACCGTTTCTTAAACTCCTCATAGCTATCGCTGTACATTACCACGCTGTGAAAAGGCCAGGTGCAATCTCGCCGAAAATGTTCCAAATCAGTGTAATCTGCTTGATCTTCGAAGTGGGTAAAAGAATGTCCGATAGCAAGAAATAGATCCCCGATTGCATTCAAGCAATCTTCGTCACTCCAATGTTGTTTTACGAAGATCACGTGCATGATGTTTAACAGTTCCTTAACTGTTTCGATTAGAAAATGTTGAGGAACTACTATGCTTTTCTTTTTCAGAATTTGAACGAAGTTTTCAGGATCCTTTACAATATATGATGTGATGTGGTTTTTAACTACACTTACAACAACTTTACTTAAATATTCAGCATAACAAGCATTTGATATTAGCCATGAAAAATCAATACCTCTAATATGTTTTAAGAACTCATTATAGAATCTAAAAAACCTGATGACTAATTTCGTCTCAGAGCACTTAGTCAAACCGATTTCAACAAGTTTTAATATCTTCTTTAGAATTGCTTCCATATCATCTTTAAATATACTGCAAGGAATCGGCAGATTTTCCAAAATATTTTCCCGTAATTGCCAATATTCGTTATATATATCCATTAAACTGGAAAAATAATCAGATAAATCAGTTTTTTCGTCGGAATTCAGAATGTTGTTAATAAAGTCCATCTGCTTGTCTAGTATATTATGATCGATATCAGTCAGAATTGAACTGACGTCATTAAAATATGGCGATAACTGCATAATGAATTTTATTATATTAAGAGTAGCGATGCGAAACGATTCATAACGATCTTCTTTTGCTTCTTTAATGAACTTTATAAAGCCTTTGAGGACATATAATGACAGTTCCTTAAATTTATTGCTAGATTCACCACACAATAGAGGAGCAGTACCACAGTCTACAATATATAGCCATACAAGGCGATCCTCTGGTATAGTTTGAAAACTTCCATCTCTCCCGTAGAGAAAGTCTTTTATAGATTGCAAGAGGCTATTATCCCCTTCCAACATCATGAACGAATATTTGAATCTTCTCTTATTTGAATAGGAGCCAGGTTCAAAGTGATCCAAAAGTTTGAAATATAACTTATATTGGTTTTCAAGGGAACTGTTGACGGCAGACTTCGAAGTCCATGGAATGGAGCTTTTTATTTTGAAATGTCCTTTTTCTTCTTTTAGAAGCTTCTGTGGTTGTATGTCTGCTTTAGCAGCTATTTCAGTGATAATATCTCGGAAGTTCTTCAGAAGGAAGGAGTAAACGGGATGGGTCAAAGGTACAACTTCTTTCACTGATTTGTGATTCAGCAATTGGACTTTGGAATAAAATTTTTCCCACAAATATTTTATAAAATCCAGCGGAATAATTCTATTGGAGAAACTGCTCTCTTCGTGGGCGACGGTAACTGCATTTGAAAATAACTCAATGTCTTTTCGGTTTATGAACAGTATTTTGTCATTTGGTAGGTCAGCTACAGAAAGAATGTGACAGAGGAGATATGAATTCTTTGTAGGGCAGCATTTAATTAAATTCTGTTTGTGATTACTAATTCCGAGGTCACAGATAGTGCGTACGGTGTCAAACAAATTCCTTGTGAGTGGGTTTGAATCACTACTAAACTTTGGGAAATATTCATTTCGAAAGTACAGTTTATTTTCTACTTTCTCGAAATACTTTGCGCAATTCTTTATCGCAGGTGAAATATATTCGTTTTTAAGTATTTCCTTTAAAAACATTAAAGGTTTACTCAAAGCCAATCTGTAAGATTTCGTTATTAAGAACAGTTGTAGAAAATCCTCAGCGCATTCAACACTATTCGATATTGTTGCACTCCTTTTTTCTAATATTTGTAGGAAACTGCTATAGACCTTATATTTTTTAAGCATTAACTCGTCTTTTAAGACCTCAGTAATAAAAATATTGTTCAGCAACATTCGTTTATTGTTTTCGAAAGATTCGCGACTCAGCTCTATGTCTGCTATTATTTCAATTCTTGCAATAAATCTGTCATTGTTTGACACCAATAAGCATTCATCTCCCAATTTGCCTAAATTTAATTTGTAAGGAGGGTTTGTGTTTTTTAAAAAAAGTTGACCCGTATAGATAAATCCATTGCCATCTTGTACTTTTCTTATGTGTTCATTACCATCAGTGCTCACTGATTCACTAATGTTACTAACATTTGGTTTGTTAGGAACATTAGGTTTGACACGGGCTTTCGGTTTATTAGGTACAGCTGGAGGTGGTTTTTGTTTAGAATTTGAATCAGAGCTGGGCGAATTTATAGCGTTCGGATGTCTATAATCATTTGTCGTATAAATAGAAGACTGAGACGTAGCACCTGCATTTGGAATTTCAGCAACTTCATTTGGTAGTTTTTCTACGGTGCTTTTTAGAATTGGAGCGTTTTGGTCTGCATCTGATTCTTTATTTCTTTCTGAACTATTTGCGATTTCTTTGGTGGATTCTTCTGAGCTTTCATCAGAGACAGCAGAAAATGATTTCACCTTCTTTGAAGTATTTTGAGGTTCAATTTTCATTCGATTGGACTCTTTTGTTGGAAAAGTTTCTTCTTTTGCACCAAGTCGGTTAAATTTGTTTAAAATGTCAAAGAATTGAGTTGGTTTAGATTTTTTTTTTAAATCTTGTCCATGCCGCTCATTTTTAGAAAGTTTCTTATCATCTTGACTAGAGTTGCCTGTAATATTCTCCTCAGATTTCTCATTAGGTGGTTTATAAGTTTTATCTTTTGGATTCTGGCTATCCATAGTTTGATTTGCAATCTAAATACTTTTTAATGTTAGTACCTCGAGGTCAAATGTTCGGGAAATAGTAACTACTTCTTTTATTTTCACCTTGACGCTTGTAAATTATCCATCCTACATTTTAAAATATTTTAATTGTTAGAGGAAATTTTCTTTCTACACAGGAAAACTATTTGGAGTGAATGTTTTCATTTATTATATTTGAGCATCGCTTACAGATACCATCAGTAAGAAACAATCCACCACTTCAGATATGAAACACCTAAGGGAATAAAATAAAATTAATGGCAGTGAATTAAAGAAGTTTAAGAAATATTCGAGTTCAATATTCTAAACATTAGCAAAAAAAAGATATTCAAATTAATTTCTTTTTCTCAATTTATTTTACAACACATTTTAAAAAAGACAGTTTTAATTTTAGTTTAGTGTTTCTCAGTGTTTAATTCAGCTTAATGTTTCCTTCCACTTATTAAAAAAGACTACCTTAAATTAATCAAGCGTTTTGCGATCTGTTCTATGTTAAGAAAGCCTGACACTTTTAAATTAAGCATTTAACAATCAATTTTTTTCCAAACACAAGAAAAAGACAATTTTAAGTAAGCTATGTGTTTTACATTCTGATGCCATTTATTTTGGACAATTACTTTTAATGGTGTAAATAAGTATTTGCATCGAAATAACTCCCTTAATTATTACTTTTTAGATAGCCTATTAACAGTCGACGTCTGGGAAAAGTTTTAAAAATTAATTTAACTGCAGTTTATAAGCAGTTAATCTAGTTTAATGGTTCCTTCAACTTATTAAAAAAGACAGCTTTGAATTAGACAATCCTTTTGCAATCTGTTTCTTTCCACACAATAAGAAAAACACCTTTAAATTAAATATTTAACAATCTATTTTTTCCAACACACAAACCACGGCCTTCCCCGCTTTCTTGATCCAGTGGGTCAAAAAAACAGTATCTTTTTTATTGTATTGTCATCATTCATTCGAATCAAGCATTTTGCAAATAGAGCATTAGACATTTCCAACATTATTCGCAACAACAGACATTAGTAACATTTTGCAAATACACGGCTGTTGCGGATATTAGTTTGCACGTATCTTGAATAAAAAATAGCCAGTGTCATACAATTGCTTTCAAAATACCTTGGTAAAAACAAAATTAATGTTAATCATTTTAATGGCTAAATTATTACAAAAAAATAGTTCTACGTTTAGTCTGATTGCAGTGCAAAATCTCTTTATAAATCTTTCAGCAAATTTAAAATTAATAATTGACTGCTGAATACCTGTTGTTCGTACGAAGAGTTATGAAATTCAATCTTTAGATAAAAAGCTATTCAGGGTGATCAATTTTTTTTTCTACCATACAACAGTTACCCCTTGAAAAAAAATTTTACATGAGAATAATCCGTAGAATTTTGTTTCCACATATCTTATGAAGCTCAACAATTAGAAAAAAATATAAAATTACGGAGAATAATAAAATAATATTAAAAATAGAGAATGAGAATCGGAAATAGAGAAAAAGATATTCCAAATAAATTACTATCCTTATTTTAATACTATTCAATTTTTTTTAAATGAGAACTCAAGCAAAAAATACTTGAAAAGAATTGTGATAGTAATTGAATAATTTATTTGATAACAGTATCAGTTCTAGAAATAAAAAATATGTTTATATAAGTCATTTCGATTATATTTTAAAGTTACTACTCTACTAGCTAATTTCTTATAGCAACCAGAATACAACAAAAATCAAATGTAATATGAAGAACTCTTAAGGCCCATTGTCTAAAAAAATTAAAAAATGAAAGAAAAAAAGGGAGTTGGAAATTTGAAGTGTAGGTCACAAACCTTATATACTAGAACTTTTTTTCTTTTACCGAAACTTAAGATGCCTCATCGTGAGTAGTTAGGAAGGAAACAATTATTAAATTATCTAAAATCATCAACGGTTTATTTAATTAAGTTTCCTTAATTTTACTTTCCTCCGTAATTTGATGAACTCTGTCATTTTTTTCCTCCAATTACCGAAGAACAATTATTAATCTTTCGATTTCAAATAAAAAACTCTACATTATTTTATTTGTTCATTTATTTTTACATTGTCGTTCTTAAGAATTAATTAACGATATTTTTCTTTTTCTTTAATCAACACTCCCAGTCGCATTTTGAAAATTGAAATGTAGCACGATTCTATACATGGCTCATTTTGCTTTCATCAATTATTAATTTTGCCTTTATTAATTGTCTTCATCAAGAACAATTGCCTTCAAACTTGGAACATTATAAAAGTTAAACTTAAATTTGTCAGTATTACGAGTAAATTACACTGAAACAATTTTTCAGAGAAAAAGTTAAGATAAAATTAAATTTAGTAACATGTTCATTACATTTGCCTTCAATCTGTCAATATTGCGAGTACAATATATTGAAATACTTTTAAGTAAAAAAAAGTTAAAATAAAATTAATTTTAGTAATATATTCGTTACATTTGCCATCCATTTGACAGTATTATGAGCGAATTATATAGAAACATTTTTTAATAAAAAAAAAGTTAAGATAAGCTTAAATTTAATAATATGTTAATTACATTCAATTCAGTATTCCAAGCGAATTTCACTAAGACATTTTATAATAAAAAAAATGGAATTTATCAGATGAAATTTAGTAATATGTTTATTAATCTTTAAGAAGTATGTTCTTTCTCACTAAAATGTTCCGTAATGTATTACCACTCCTCTCCGACTCCACTACACTTCTGCTTATTATTCTATTATTCAATTAAAGCTTTCAATTGTAACGATTAATTACTGACTTGCATAAGTAACTTTTTTTTATCTACGTATAAACTATTTCTTATAGTAAAACATTATTGCCCTTATAAANGTTCAAAATGAAGAATAAAACAAAGAAAAATTATAGACATATGAAAAAAGGGGGGTGGGAAATAATAAGTAAAAAAAATAACAAACAACATTTTACTTAAAAAAAAAAATTAAGTGTTAATTAAAAAACCGGAAAAAAAGCCAGAAAAAAAAAAGATATAATCTTTTCTTCAGCCCACACGATTATATCCGCAAAACAGAGTGCTTTCTAAAATTGTATCAATAAAGCCAGAGCAAAATATATTAATACAATAGTGTGAGGAGCACTCAAAAAATTTTTTTACCAAAATTACAACAAATAAATAGAACACAAAAAGTAAAAATAAGTAAAAATAACATGTAAAAACAGAAAATAAAATAAAAGAAAAAGAAAAACAGTGTAAAGAATAGACTATAAAGCGAGTAGCGAAATCAGACGTACTTACATGGACGGGAAATTTTTCAAGAATGATTTAAAAATGTTTTCGCAGAAAGATTGCCAGATTACAAAATATAAAAACAAAAGCGCAAATTGAGTGCAACTAGAGGGTTTTAAAGTGCCGTTCTGACTGCACTGCTGAAGTGATTTTTTATTCTGTGCATTGATTTGTTAGTTGCCAAGGATGAACCCGAAATGGATGTGCGCAAGGTAATATTATAATGGATAATTTTAAAAATTGACCATAAATAGTCTTAGAAAATAGATGTTTATTTAAGAAAATATATAAAATAGAAAAGAGAAACATAAATTGCCTGTTTTGCAAATAATTTTAGCCACGGATTTGCACGAAATGGATTAGCACATGGAAAAATTAACAAACTTATAAACTTATTGTTTTTCTTAACTTTCTTCGTGTTTTCTTGCGTATATATACAAGGAGTGATCAAATGAAAAGGTACGAAACTACGTAAAAATGTAACAGTTAAATATTTTCATATTACGCCATTGGAGAACGTAACGAGACATCTTGGGAAGCGATTGGTGTCTCTGACTGGGATCGGAGCATGCGCGGGCTCCCGCATGCACAGGAGAGAGCAGAGGCTCTTATCAAAAGCGGCGTCCAAATGATGCAGCAGTCCGCATGAGGAGAGGATGGCGTTCGCGTTACAAAATTCGACGATTGAGGAACAGCGAGGTGTTATCCGATTTCTGACATCGGACCACTCCGACGCCTACGCAGGTCCAAGAAGAACAAAAGACCAGGGCTGCTCACGGAGGGTGTGGTTCTGCTCCATGATAACGCACGTCCACACGTTTCCAGAGTCACACACATGGAACTGGCCAAGTTCAAGTGGGAGACGCTGGACCATCCGCCCTACAGTCCGGGCATGTCGCCCTGCTATGTCCTTGTCTTTGGTCCACTGAAGAAACACCTGAAAGGGAAGTGCTTCAACTCGGACGACTTACTTAAATACGCTGTGAAGGACTGGGTCTCGTCACGGCCACAGGAATTCTAGGAACAAGGAATCCTGCGGCTTGTTCATCAGTGGGATCGTTGTGATCAGGCCTATGGTGTATATTTTGAATAAAGTCTGCATTTGTACCCACCGTGTCGTTTCGTACCTTTTCATTTGATCACCCCTTGTATATATGGTTTTTTTGGACACTTTTTTGCTTTTATTCCAAGGACCAACCTCTTTTTTACATTACAGAAATTAGTAAAAGACAGGGTAGATTTCGAAATCGCTGAGTCAAGGAAGAAAATATTTACAATTTGTTTTTTCACTTTTTTGAGATTAACCAATGAGGAGTCATGAATCAACAAATTGGCCATTGAAAACCATTCATCCTGAGTAAGTTGAAGTTAACATAGTTTCCTAGTCTGTGGTATTGTAAGTTTTTCATAAAATATTGAGCTTGGCTCAGTACAACCGCATCTTACACTCACATAATTGTATTCTACATTCAATCACTTCACTTGCCTTTATAATAATTATTTGTAATGTTATTTTGCCTTGTGTGGCTGGCTATACGAAAATTACCCTTATAGTAGTATTTTATGGTTATATTTAAGATATTTTTTATATTTAAAATTATTTAAGATTTCTATTGTAAGGAAGTAAATGTTTAAAGTTATTTTAAAAGTAATAAATGGGTAAATGAAATTAAAAATATGAAAGAAGGTATATTTAGCACACCTTTAATGATTTCCAATCGTCCAATCTCAGTTTACAGTATTTTGTTAAAATTTAATGTCCGTTTTTTCTAAAATTAAATTATGTTTTATCAACGTTTTATAATCATGTTTCAACTCATAGTAGTTAAAGTTTGTGTTTAATTTTATAAAATATAAAGTTTAAATTAATTTCATTAAATTTCAAATTTTCCAACCCAATATCTTTCATATTAGTTATTACTAAATTTTTACATATTTTGCAGCAATTGTA